GAATAAGCGAAGAATGACAGCCTCGTGGTGCATAATATGACCGCTGAAGCCCAGGGTGCTGTGGGGACACAGGAAAGGGACTAGCCCACCTAGGGCGTCAGGGGAGGGGTCTGCAAAGGGTGGCACAAAAGCCGGGCCTCCCTGCAGCTGAGGCTGCGGGCACAGGAGGGGCAGCAGCTCGTGCCGGCTCTGCCCCCTTCCTCTCCAGCACCCGCTTCGCAGCCCTCGGCTGCAGGTGGCCACGTCGCAAGTGCCTGAGATGAACTGGCCAGAGCTCACGTCCTGCAGGAATTCCCTAGAGCAGCAGTGATCCTGCAGACCCCGTCTCCATCAAACGCCAGACCCCCACCGCAGACAACGCTTCAAACGCAGGACGGCTCTGGCAGGAGGGTTGTCTTCAGGGTCTGTGAAAAACAACCGCACGTTTACAACTCGCTCGTCTCGGTTCATTTCTGTAATAACCCAGCCGGGGAACTAAAGCAGCATCTCACCAGCCGTTCTTTGTTCTCGGTGAACAGAGGGCGGAATTCAGGAGGCTAATCGGATGGAGCTGAGGGCCGAGCCTGGGGAAGGAGCTGGCAGGGCCTGGTGAGCCGGGTGCGCTCCCGTCCGTGGAAAGGGCTCCAGGGTTTCCCGTGACTTGGACAATTGCTAGAAAACTGTCCTTTCCAGCCAGCGGTCCTGCGGCAGAGAACACAGGATGGACACATGGTGGAAAAACCACACCCTAGGCTCTGAGTTTATCATCTTGGGCTTTGGAGACCTGGCCGAGCTGCAAATCCCCCTTTTTGGACTCTTTCTAATCATGCATCTTGTCACCCTAGCGGGGCACACGACTATTGTGCTCGTCACCCTCACGGACTCCTGTCTCCAGACCCCCATGTATTTCTTCCTTCGAAACCTGTCCACCATTGAAATTGGCTATGTATTGGTTATTGTCCCCAACATGCTGGTCAACTTCCTGTCCGGGAACCAGCGGATGCCCGTCCTGGGCTGTGCCCTGCAGATGCACCTCTTCGTCGCCCTGGGCGGGGCAGAGTGTTTCCTCCTGGCCGCCATGGCCTATGACCGCTTCGTGGCCGTCTGCGACCCTCTGCGCTACACCCTCATCATCACCAGGGCCCTGTGCCTGCACATGCTGTCTCTGGCATGTGTCGGCGGCTTTGCCCTCTCACTCACCCTCACCACGCTGATATTCCTCCGGCCCTTCTGCCAGTCCCGTGAGGTCGACCACTTCTTCTGCGACATCCCTGCGGTGCTATTCCTGGCCTGCGCGGACACGCGCGCCAACGAGATTGCAGTCTTCCTCGTCTGCACGCTCGTCCTGCTGCTCCCGTCCGTGCTCATCCTGCTGTCCTACGGATTCATTCTCGCCGCCGTCCTCAGCATCCACTCTGCTGAGGGCAGGAGCAAAGCCTTCTCCACCTGTGCTGGGCACCTGCTGGTCTCTCTCCTGCACTATGGCTGTGCCATATTCATCTACATTCGCCCCAAGTCATGCTACACCCCGGGACAGGACAAAATCGTGTCCTTGATCTACACCAACGTCACCCCCATGCTCTACCCTGTGATCTACAGCCTGAGGAACAAGGAAGTCAAGGGAGCCCTCAGGAGGCTCCTGGGGCGCCACAGCGGCTGAAGAGCAGCAGCAGGTGACCCCGGCCCCAGGTGAC